TATATATATATATATATATAGATCTAGATTGGGTATATCGATATGTTACAATCAAATGTATACAAATAATGATATATACTGCAAAAAAGTCTTATAAACTTAGAACATAGTAATATATGTTCTAAGCATATAAAAAACATTTTTCAAACATTCTTTCAGAAAGTTTTAAGCTCATGTCAGACTACATATTGAAGGTTGAAGATTGCAAACTAAAGATTGAAATTCGATCAATCAGATATATTTAATTTTAATCCATTTTGTTTTGATTAACTGAATTCTACTCTTTATTCGCAATTCTCATTTTCCGATGCAAAAGATTAATAAAAGCTTTAAAAATGTCTTTCAGATTATTTGGAACGACGAATGGAAGGTTTGAAGATATAAAGAACTAATGAATAAAATTTTTCGCTTAGGAAACCATTTAAGTATTGTTTATATGAGACTATTTTTTAAAATATCATTTTTGAATTATACATATACGAGTAATGATCTTTCTTTATCAAGCATTTTTTATGTTTCGACGTATCGTACATACCTTCGAAATTCCCGCGCTTCGATCAGCTAACCTAAAACGGGTTCCCGCTCCGAATTCTGATTCAGACTGATCGAGCATCATCCGGTCGAAGATCTTCTGAATTCTTATTACAATTCCACCCGGAGGCCTTTCGCGTCGTGTCTCGTCATGCGATTCGACTCATCCCACCCTTGAATAGCGTCCGGGTGCGTCTCGAGTTTTACACAGGGTGTGTCGCGCGCGGAAATAAAGAAGCGCACTTCCCTTGCGCGCGTAAGAGCAGTTCCCAGAGCGCACAAGAGGAAAACAAAAGTATGACTTAATACGAGATAACATTTAGGCGGCCTTTATTATGATAATCCACATAGCGCCCTGGTCCAACGACCCCCCAAGGGAATCAGGCTCTTCTTCTCCCTCCTCTGTTCTCTCTAGCTGCCATCTTTCGTCCAGGTTACGCGCGGCTGTTCCGCCGGGCGGTGGTATTATTGTCCTGCAATACAGGTTCACCCCTATTTATCTGCGAAAAAGGGAGAATTTCTCTTAGCGGTAAACGAGTTTGCGAAGGAGAGCGAGAAGACAAGCACGACTCGCTGGGGGTCTGCCCCGAGGGACCCCACGGTTAATGCCACGCTGTTTATGCTGGCTTGCGCAGGGGGGAGGCCCCTCCTGAGAAAAATCTTCCTTACTGTCTGCACTCGTGGTGCGGATCGCCGATATTAACGTGGGAAACAAACCGAACCTGTGCGGCGCGATGTCATTAAGTATTGTCGTAAGAAAAAATCGTCGTCCGCTGCCTTGCGCCCCGATGCTAGCCTCTGCACATGTCGGGTTATATATATACCTCTTTTGTTAACCATAAAGGTACATGTTATATATCGATAATATTTGCCAGAAATTATCGAATTTATATCTTTCTTGATTAATACAACAATAATGAAAACGTTATAATTCAAAGATCGGTTATATATGATTTCGATAATTATAGAATAACATAATTTAATAATAATTTTCACATATACTGCATATACATAAGTATACATACATCTGTCATTAAAATTATATTATAAATCCAAAATTAAATCTTATCCATAATATAATGTGTGTACATTTTATTAATTATTAATGTATAATATAATACATTGCATTAATAATATTAAATTAATTTATTTTATTAATTATTTTTTATTTTAATGTTTGTATCCTATTATAAAATTAGTCATTTCGCAGCGTTATTTTTTCAAATATTTTTTAATAAGATATATGTATATAAAAATTAATGTATATATATTTATTTGCAAAAATAAACATATTATTGTCAGGAACTTGATCTATTTTTCATATTTAAAGATATGGAAAGTTAATTTCGATAAAATATTAAAATTATAGTATCAGTGTTCATAGTAGTAGTATAGTATCAGTATCAGTTATCGAAATATTTTTAAATACTCCTTTGATAGTTTTTTGTTTTTTAAAAATTTTTTTTTAAAGAAAATGATTTTTTTTAAAAGAATATAATCACATCCACAAATTTGAAAAAACTTATTCGGATAAAAATACTTATAGTATCTTTTTTGTCGATTTTTTTAGATTACTATATATATATATATATATATTTCATATAAAAAAGATATTAAAGTATAAAATAAAAAAATCTACAGTTATATTGTTATCGAATCTTGATATTGATTTGTATTACAGATAATAGAAATAATCTTAAGATATAATTTGTTAATACATTTTGTAAATACAGCCTCGCCCAAAAATGTGATGCTACATATTTCTTTCCGAGACTACATTTACGTAAATCTAAAATATAGAGGATACTAAAATGTAAATGGATAAGATATCATAAAATTTCTGAAATTACGTATAAATACGTATAATTAAAACAATAAAGACATTTATTAAAATAGTCTTGTGGACTATATTGTATTTTATCCATGAATACTGTCTTTGGAATATAAACCTCGATATACATATCTTATTTTTATAATTATGTATATGTACATACAAAAAAGCAATAATCTATGTGTCTTGTGCAGTAAGCAAAATGTTAACAAAATCAGCTTGTTAGCAGATTTGATCAGAATATTGGCAGTAAATTGGTATCGATTATGTTTACATTAGGCTTGTTTTTTACTAGTAAAGCCTATCAATATACAATATCTGACAATAGATTACAGTTAATCTATTATCTTATTCTATTCATAAATCTTGTTACATTTCTGTTGGCGTTCTGCCGACAAATTTGTAACAAATATTTTGCACTGTTTTGATAATTTAACTATTTGGATTTCTATATCTGTTAATCTTATAATAAAAATATAAATTTCTATAAAAGTTCATTTTTTATCAAATATTAATAGATGACTTAATTATGATAAACAATGTATATTACAAATATTTTGCAGTTGTTATATAAAGTATCGGAGTTGTTAAAGTAGTTGTTAAAGTATCGGAGATTGGAAAACGATTATTACGTTTTCGGACGGATTAATTTAGTTGTATAACTATCAGATCATTTAATATCATTAGCGTCATTAATTAAAAGGCTTACGGTAAAGGGCTAACCCACATTTATGAGAACTGAAAAAATAAACTTTAAAGTTAAAGTCATGAGTTTAAAATTCATTTTTCTCTAATTTTGCAAAAATGAATTAATCTTCTGTTGTTGTAAAGTCCTTCAATTACAATCATGGATAAAAAAGTAAATATATTATTCTCATTTTCAATATTGCGTTATCATAAAATTCCGAAAATTGTTATGTAAATATATTAAATTTCTTAAGGCTCAAACAATATATGTAGATATAAAAACATAAATTATTGTTCCATGCGTATTTATCGTCATTACGAAAACCTTATTTAATAATTTGATTCGTTATATATATATATATATATATATATATATATATATATATATCTAGCAACACTAACTTACATTTATAATGGACGGCTTGAAAAAGATAATTGCTGATACAGAAATTACAGCAGTAAATACTTTGTTGTACAAAATACTAAGAGTATTTTCTATTTCATTCATTTCATCTTCGTTGAGCTGGAAAGAATATCATCAGCATTGATAATAATAGTACCCAACTGACTTGAATTGACGAGGCACCAGCCAATCGACACTTGAACATATCGTATCTAAAATAATAATAATCATAATAAAATTTAAACCATATTTGTTATGCAATTATTAGTAAATACTTTCAAAATAAACGTATAAGTATCCGTATTCAGAACACTTTTAGCAACAAAAATGTTTTTAAGCATATAATTTACGTTACATATACTATATACTTACAAGCGTTTTTATATTGATAAAAGCGCGTTCTGAATATGGGCCATAATTTTTGAACAATTATAAAGAAGAAAATTATAAAATACCTCGTTTCTTGGTCATTAACAATATTGTTAAATTCAGCTTCCACTAATTGTCCATCATAATATGTAATTAAATCCTCAAATGGATACTCGAAGCCTTGTTTGCATTCACATTTGTATCCACCTGTTTCAAATCCTCTCCCAAGGATAGGTACGCACTGTGAAAATGAAATGTTTAAAACTTATTATTAGTAAAATTAACGAAAGTATTTTCAAATTAAAATAAAAACATCTTTTTCAATATTTTGAATTTTGAATTTACAATAATATCTAGATATTCTCAACATTATTATCCAATACCTAAATACTGTCAACATTATTACCTAATACAATAGAATAATGCCGACTTACGTATGATGTCTTTTTATCGCACTTGTGTGTATCCTTGAATGCGTTTGGTTGGTAAAATTTATCATCACATTGGTTTATATCTAACTGAAGCATATCCATGGTAACAGCTACGACACCCCTGTAAGTGTCTTAGTGTTAAATATGATCTTCCTTGTCTCTTCCCTTTTTATTATAAAACTGGTTTCGTGTCTCTACAGTGTCTCTCATACTCAATTTCTTTGATACACTCGCACACGCGCGTGCACGCGCGCACACAGCATACACACACCTGCACGCCCGCACGTTCGTGCATATGTACATACATACATATACGGAAGTGCACTCCTCTCTATCCGCGTGCGATCGCGCTTCGATGAGAACACTTACTTGAATTCCAGTTTCTCCTTCAAGCTGTCCCAGCCGAAAAATGGGGATGCATAGGTAATTATCCACTTCTTCACCTTGCCGTTACAATCGAAGTACGGAGTTGTCCAGTGTCCATGGTCCAGGTTTGCTGCCCTACACAGACGGCCCATTCGCCGCGTTCCCATACATTAGAATAAATCGTACTTTAGAGATCGGATTCCCCCCCAAGCTTTCGGGAACGTAATCCTTTTATACTTTAATGCTCCGTTATGCTTTATCATCACTTTGGAGCATATCGATAAGATATTATACAATCGTTATTTTGCGAATTTTGTACTAATAAATGACGCACATTTTTTTTACCTGTAATAGTTCGGATAATGCTCGTACTTTTTCAAGTACTCTCCAGTTTCATTGAATCGAATTTTTATCTTCATATAGTATTTTTCCAATTGATCAAAATTTGTTGCCCAACGTTGCTTCAACATTTGGAAATAACTTTTCTTCGTATACACTTCATCTGTAAATAACACATAAATTGTATTGGAAATCAACAAACATAATAATGAACCTAAATGAAGACATTTAAAACATGTGCACATGCATGTTTATACGTGAATACAATTCATTAATGGAATAAATTTCTAGTTAAAAAAATTTAATTGAAATACATATTTCAATTCTAAGTAACATTTCTTCTTGTTAAATAAATCATTTTAGTTTACCTGTGTCATTGAGTCTAGCTAAATCTTCAAGTTTAAATTTACGCGTGTTTAACTGCGTCTTGTAAGCGAACGGGGCAAAGAACGTTCGGTTGGTAAATTTATTACGATCCCAGAAAGTGCCAGCTGACCAGATCTTTGTGTCGCCGAGCACCAGGGCCAGTGTCTCCCCTATCATTTGATCTTCCGTGAGCGGTCTGTCAGCTACTCTCTTGCCAGAGTAAACTTCCAAGGGATCTGATACTTGTAGGAAGGCGCTGATGAAATTTGCCAATCTAGTCGCCATTTTCGCTTCGTTTTCGAAGAACTCTTCTGCACCAAAACTAACGTCTCCGCGTAACATTAAGTCTTGTGGTGCATAACTGAAGGCACAATTTTAATTTCAAATTCAAATATCTCAATAACAGGGAGTGTGCAATGTAAAAAAAAGGACAACATACTTCTTGCAGGTTCTCGAATTCATACCCAAAATGAATTTGAGAGATTGATCGATGTTCAGCTTTGTGTCCTGAAATGCAGCTGGACCAGTCGAATAATTCCTATAATGATGATATTGCTCGAGATATTTTTCTCTGAGATATGGTTTTGCTTTCTCCCATTGTACCGGCATTTTATGAACCCCTGTAGAACGAAATTCTCATTAGTGCTAAACAACACCGCGATTAAGTAAAAAATAAATAAATAAAAATAAAAACGTACAGCCGATCCGCGAACAATCAAAACCATTGTAGTATTGTTCTTGCGTAGCTCTTTCCACTATTTCACCAAGATAAGGTCGTCGTACAACGGTCGGTAATCTATAGCCGGGCTTACATCTACATTGATATCCGCCTCTTCTGTAACCCCAACCATGTATCGGTTCGCACTGTAAACGATACATACATGTAACAGTTAATTAATCAATTAATTGCTAATAAATATAACTTGATGGGATTTATACATTTAAATGTGTACCTCCGTAGTATCAGTTTTGCACCTTGCGGTATTAGCGAATCTGTTGGGTCCGCTGTTTCCTTTACCCTTGGGACATTGATTTATATCTATTCTGTCAAAGTCCATTTCCATTACTGAAACGGCAGTGTACGTTGGATATTCAACATGCCTGAAACCAGTATGTCGTGGATAGATATCTGCTACAGGTGATACTGCAGCTACGAGCCATCGATTTGATCGGCCACAATCGAAATACGGTCTAGTCCATTTCACAGGTCCAGGATATTCATCGGCACCTGCATTATAAAATTATGTTGAAAAAAAAAAATAAAAATACGAGCTTGACATTTTGGAGCAGCTCTAAAAGCTTTATTATTACCGGGTGGACCGTGGAACGTAAATGTTTCATTTGTATTATTTGCATAGCGAATTTCAACTTGATACGTTGTTTTAGTGTCGTGTCTCTTATCTACATTATCTGGCAACCATTTCTTGTACCTGTAATTAATGAATTTATAAAAGCGTATATAATTTTATGTCAATCGATAAAATTTACTTTAAACGTAAAAGTTTATAATAAATTATATGTGAAGCATATATTATGTTTGCTAGATTAAATTCTATGAGTGTGATATTGAGTTTCACATACCATTCGTTTATACGATAAAAATCAGTGGTGTAATCATCACTAAGCTTAGTAGTGGGAAAGGCCCCTAAATCCTGTACGGTGAATGTGTTCCTGGTGGATATTCTTTCCAAGTGTATAGGATCATTAAAGTCATCTGCCCTGAAAGTTCGTGGCGCGAATCTGGGAAAGGTTTTATTGAAGAAACCGCGGTAGGACGGCGAGTAAGACATATTGGACGAGAAGTAGATGGCCGAGGCATTGATGTACGGATTAGCGGAAACGTCCGCCACCGTGGACAGGAAGTAATACATCATGCCTGGATCATAGGTGTCGTTGATCGCTGGACGGATAAAGCGTGACTGGAGGATGTAACTCCAGAAGAAACTTCTGCTGAGCGCCATGTTGTGAAGATGCAGCAGAGCCGTACGATTCGGGAACACCGGGTTGATGTTGATGTCCTTTATATCGGGCAGATGCGATACCGCGTCCTCCGGCAGATACAGATCGCCGAGGTGCTGTATCGGACAGTTGTCGTCGTTCACCTTGTCCATCCGCATGCGGATTTCGTCGAAGGCGTCGCGGGTTTGCCACTCATACTGGCCGACAACGCCCAACAGGCAGTAGAACCAACAAGCGATGACGATCGGCGTCACTGCCTGGCAAATGGTAGCCATCTCCGAGAAGAGAGTGCGCACTTTCTTTCTCTCTCAATTCGCGCTACGATATCGCCGTTAAAGGCACTTTTTGAATATTTTAATATACGCCATGCATTCTCGCCTTCTTTCTCTCGCTGTGTTTCTTCCACTTCTCTTGGATGCTAATTCGTGTAAATAAAAAATTGCGTTACATTTTCTTTACAGATCAGAAAGATTCCTTTATTATATGCAAACTTTGACATATCGATATGTTAGTGAAAGAACTGATCTTTCGAGTCTTCTTACCTCGTGCAGATTTTTCAGTCGCGTTGAATGAAGGTTCGGAGCAGTTCGGAGTAAACACGCCCAGTCGAGCGACTCGAGCGGGGCGCGTTTCATGAGTTTCCACGATTCCTTCGGTTGTGACGTCATCGCTGGTGTATGTCGCGTTGACGATAACTTTCGATGCGCGCAACGTTTGACCGTTTGAATTCTCTTTTTCGAAGTTATCAGATAATTCTTGAAAGGCTTAAAAATAAAATAATTTTTTTATTATTACTTTTATGGTATACGTAAAATAAAAAAATTGAAATATTACGTAAAGAAAAAATGTGTTTTAAAAAACTTGAAAAAATCTAAAAGATTTTTTCAAGATTTATAACTTATTGAAAACTCCTAAAATATTTTCAATAATTCCAAGATTTCAAAAAATTTCTTAATTTTGATTAAAACTTAAAACAGTTCGTCTAATTGATTATGATTCATTGTTAAATATGTGTATTTTTATTGTATAAATAATAATCCGTATTTTTTTTGTTATATAAATAATATCAATTTATGCACTTAAAGAAAAAAAAATATAGTAGCAAGAAAATTAAAGAAAAATAGTATCTTAATTATGTATTGTAAAGTAGCGGTAATATATTAAATAAATGTATGAACTGAGGAAACATAAAACATATGTTAACTTGTAACAAGAAAATAATAATGTAAGATATTTTTATTAATGAAAAATATATTATTGATACAAAAAATGTGTTATAATTTATCGTTATGGCGCCATAATGACTCTTTTCAGAAAAATATTTTCTGAAAAGTTTGTTTAAAATGAAAAAAATAATATAATTATATATAATATGATTATTGATATAAAGTCTTTGTAAGAGTAGTGTTTCTCGAAATGTGCTGTGATTATCTATGGTTTACGTAACGCGAATTATAGAATTTCAGTACTGTCAGAACATTTCGGAACACACTTTATATCATAGTCATTTCAATACTGTCTGAATAGTTAGAGTATAATGAAATAATTTTAACATCTAATTGTATTAATTAGACGACTAAAATTTTTTTATTCTGTCGCAGCTACGCGTGAATATTAAGTTATTTCATATTTATTGCTGTGATTTTATTTCGATAGTCTTTATAATATGCACTAGTTTTGTTTTCATTTATAATTTATGAAATTGTTAAAAATATTAAAAAAATATATTCATTGCAGTTGTCACATAGTTATAGATTATTAGATTATAAAACTACTTTTTTTCTGAGTGCGAAATAATCTTATAAATCACAAATAATTGCAAACAGAGATTAAATTCTAATAGAGAGATTAAATCATATATACATATTTTTTAAATGTTCTTTCTATTTTTTTTCTATTTTTTTAGAATTTTGTGTGAAAACAGACTTTATTAATAAATTTTTTATATATTTATATAGAAATCTAAATATATAAGACATTTTGTATTAAATGTCTTAAGGATATTTAAAAAACTTTAAAACATTTTATGTTCCTGATTTATGGCATATTTTTATTATTTTTTTTATTTTAAAGATGTCATTTAAGACGTCTTTAAAAAGTGACATAAATGATCTTATTTTGGACCACTTTTAGATATATTATTGTAACATAAAATAATACGGAATTGTATTAATATGAAAAAAAATACAAAAGAAAAAAGTAATATTGTTTGATAAATTGTAGTATATGTATTTTATGAATAATTTACAAAATTTACAATATACATTTACATATTATTACAAAATACATTTAATATTTATAAAACTTTAAATAATGATCTATTTATTGGAGATTAATGTTTGTTGTTAATAAATCCAAATGCAATCATAAAGCATGCATAATCAATTCATAAATTAATTGTACATTCAATTTTGGACATGCATGCTGTGTAGGAAAAGTTACATAAGTATTGAATCATTGATATACCAATTTATTAGGTAATTTCTATCTCATCTTTATGTTAACGCGTTTTCGAACATCATTATAATACTAAATAATGCAAAATATCGGAGAGATTTAGTCTTAATTGACAATCAATATTTTCAGACGTAACAAATTAATGTCAATGCGAGCCGACACGGATGTTGGTGTGTATATAATAAATAAATATATATAATTTTTATTGTTACAATATCCAGTCACACACAACTGCGTGCCGCACTTTTTGTCGGTCTTAAATACATAATAACATAATTTTTTACTTATAAAACCAAATTTCATTGTAACAAATTAAATTGTTGAGCAATTTAATATTTTTATGCTAACAGCATCTATATAGGAATCCCCCCAAATAATAAATATTTTTTATTATAAGCTATATATATATATATATATATATAGGTATATATATCAATAAGAAAATTTGAGACGAATGTATACAGAGTGTTTGGTAACAACCGTATGACTTTTCGTAGGCATAGTAAAACGAGTTAAACAAATAAAACAAGTCCTCTATTGTTTTACAATTTTCTCAATAATTAATTAATAAGAATAAGAAATTAATTATTAAGAATCTGTGAATGAGCATGCAGCTATGATTCAGTAACAAAAGATAGGCGTCCAACGTTACGCATCATTAGTGGTTGCTAAAAGCGCGCTACTTTCAATGTCTCGCAACTGCAATCGATGTGTAACGCTAGGCTTTGTTTCGCGTTGCGTGTAATGTGCGCTTATTGTTAGATTTACTACTGAATCATGCGGATATTTACGCTTGTAGATATTTATTAATTAAATTCTCGTTTATTGCGAAAATCACAAAATGGTAATGGATTTTTCTAATCAGTTTAACCCGCTTTTATTTACATATGAATGATATTATACCTATTATCAGATATTTTGTATATTGAATAATTAAAAAATTAAATATATCATAAAAATATATCATTTATGATTTGATTTCAGAATGGTTGATTAGATTCAAATCGCTAATATATAGTGGATTTTTTGCAATGACAAAGGGGATTAAATTTGCGAAAGTCTTTTGAGTTTGATTACAGTATAAGCTTATTTCCCATATAAATCCGTCCGTGTCAGCGCTACTAGCTGAATCTGAGCTCATATTGCGATTGATCGCATGATCTCTCTTTCCGAGAGTGTGTCCTTCGATGTTTACGAGAGGGCTTTATAAATTTAAAATTTAAATCTAAGCAACTTTTCTATTTTATTTTCCTGTGCGTGCAGCTTGCAGTGATTATTTAAGGCATTTATAGTATCATTCTCGTGTTTTCATTTTTTTTTCTCTCGCCGAGCAGATCTGCGGACATGTCAGAGTTAATATGTTTCTCGCGAATTATCTCGACGCGGAATATTTTTCAATTTATTGCACCTGAAACAGCGGCGATGCAATTGCTACAATGGCATTTTTAAAAATACATCGTTAAAATTGGATAGCATATAATCACAATTTGATACAATAGTTTCTTAATTTTTGTAGAATAAAATAAATATTTTTCTATATAATTATGTGATGGAAATTTTTACTCTATTTTCATAGAGATTAATTTTTATATATATCTTATAAGAATTATTTCATATAATTTTTTGAGCTTCGGAAATATATTTGCTATAAAAAATATATTGAAATATACATATAATAGAAAATACACATATATACATATTTAAAGAGAAATCGACGTTCTATAAAGAGATTATCTAATTCCGCTACTATTAGCGGAAAGTGTGCTAAGCTTAGAACATACACTTGGGAAGTAGTTGAAAATATTTGAATTAAGAGACATTCTGTATTTTGTTTATTTCCTTTTAAACAGTTACAAATAATATGAAAAAAACTACCTTAATACATATAATATGAAAAAAACAATAGAGATCTTGAACTATTTGTCCGAAGACGGCAAATATCTGCAGCAGACAAAAGAAACCTGTTTATTTGAGAGAAACAAAAAATTTCAATTTCGCTTTTCGAGGATGTAGATTAAACTGGTGATAAAATACTATCATGTTTTTGAAGTATATTATATTTCATGTGAGCAAAAAATTTAATTCTTATCACGTATTTAAGTAACAATTTTTTTAGTAATTAATTTAAAGATATTCATTGATTCTCGAGTGAACATGCAGAATATTAATAAAAGTATTTATCATGCTCATTATTATGTTTTTCTTTATACAAAATTTGTAACAGAAGCGAGCGCGTCTATTTTATGTTTCATTGCTTCTCTCAGCATCAAATGCAACACGTCTGACGCAATGTGAAATACGTGAAATATAAAAGATAGTTGTCGTAATACAGATTTGTGCGATGTGAATCTCCGAAAACACGAATAGAAATTCACTAACGCGTCGCTTAAATTTTAACCTCCCACGACAATGGCACGTAAAGACTGTGCAAAAAAGTGCATTGTCTGGCACAGACGGTCGATTGGTGCGATGAGGATAACGTGAGGAATCGAATATTCTCGAAAGGGGGAGAAGGAGAAAGGAAGAAACAAAGAAAGATAGTGAGGGAACGGAGAGAAATAGAGACAAAGACGGCGTGAGAGAGGGAATGTGGGAAAAAGACAAAGAAGAAAGAGAGAGAGAGAGAAAGAGAGGGGAGGGGATAAGGCAGGAAGAGCAAAGAAAGAATGAAACGAAACGGGAAATGGGGAAAGGAAGGCGTACAGTGAACAGCATGCGATGCGACAGTACTCAGGAGAATTAAATTTTTGTGGCGAGAATGCGGCCTGCTGGTGTGCTGGTCTGTCCAACCGTTGATAGTTTTTAGGATGGTCTGCTTCCGGCAGAGCCAGCGCGGCGCGGTACAACGCGACGCAACGTAATGTGGCATGGTACGGCACCCGGCCGGCCGGCTAGCTTGTCTGTCTGCCTGCCTGCCTGCTTGCTTGCCTGCCTGCCTGTCTGCCTGCCTGCCTGCTGCGTGCGATTCTCAGCAGATAAAAATAATCGTCAAGAAAGTAGAAAAGTTCCGAGCTGAACAGGTTTCTGCAAGGCGAGAGCGAGCGAGCGAGAGAGTCAGTCAGCCGACGTATCTTCGCTCTTGCTCGCGCTTTCGTTGGGCCGCGTCGCGCCACGCCACGCCGCCGTGCCGTCGGAGGGACGCGGGTGCATGCTCCGACCAGACGGGTGGCTTACGGTTAAGCAGGGCCGTAACATTGTTCGAGTAGATCCCGTCCGTTGTGCTAGTTGAGATCGCTGACCGTTTCTCTTTCAGTAAGATGCATGAACGTGCGGAGACGTGTCGAGGTCACAGACATACACGTCATTCGTACTTCATAGGTATGCGTGTCTACAATTCATTGCACGAAATTTGTGCTGCTAGAGATAGAAAGAGGGAAACGGGAAAGGATGGGAGAGAGAGAAAGGAAGACATTTACGGCTGTCCCTTTTGATTCCATAATTCGTAGAAGTTTTATTAAAAACCTCGATTTCGTTTATGAAACGAAAAATTCCTTGATAGTACTTTGCCGTGCAAGATAGATGCACGTGTTTCTTTTACTTTTTTTATATTTCTCTCTCTCTCTCTCTCATATTTTGTCAAAATTTAAGAAATGTAACTCATGACAATATTTTGACAATATAATAGTTTATTGCAAATATAGAAGAAAATGTCTAAGAGATTTATTAAATTTTTATTTGTTTTATATTCTTACGCAATGAATTATTTTACTTACTAATTAATTTACTTACGCATCACGTAAGTAAATTTCCCGGAATATTTTTGATAGTCCTTCCATATAAAAAAAGTTGAGAAAGTTAAAAAAAATTAATTTTTCTTAAAATATAATTGCAATGATGTCTATATTAAAAATTTGAAAAGCAATATTACAAGAAAAGAATAGTAATAGTCAATTAATTACATTAATTAACGGAATTTCTATATAACATGTGAGTCAAACATTTGTAACAGAAAGATTCAAATGTGGAGAATAATTTAGATTCTAATGCGTAGTTTATGTATTTCTGTAATGTATGAAAAATGAAAATGTAAAATGGCATTTGAAAATATTGAAAATTCAAAGTTGTTGTCGTCGAATAGAACCGAAACAATGTACTTGGGGCAACCCGAGTTCTTTGTGACAGTCCTGAGTAAGGCGGGGTCGTATATACCGCGAAGAGAGGTAAGCGGTTGAATCGGATTGGACTGGGGTGCGTCTCTGGTAGCGAGGCGCGAGCAAACTGGTTTCAGTTTTGTGGAGCTTGCACCACTGCATCGCTCTTTCAGCGAGACAGTCCAATTTATGCATCACGGCTATGTAGGCACTACAAGATATATCAAAACGCTGCGCCCGGGCCTTAAACTCCACTCACCGTTGTCTTCATCATAATCACTACCACCACCATCACCACCACCACCACCACCATTATCACCACCACTACCGTCACTACCACCACCACTATCATCATCATCATCATCGTCAGTACCACCGTCGCCGTCGTCATCATCGCTACCGCCACCGCCGTCGCTAATAAAATAATCTACGGGATTTGTGTGTCTGTTTGATCTGTTTTCGGTTTTTTGGTTTCGATCTTACACATAAGTGCCTACACGAAACTAAATTTAACTGTTTTGAAAGCAACGCGCATCGGCTGTACGTTTGCGATAAAACGGGCATTTTTTTCGTCTCGCCGATCTTCCTTTTACCCCCTCGCACGCGCTGCATTCGCACATCGTTCAGTGCAATTACGTGCAACGGCGTGAATATAACCGCGAGTGCAACCATAGCCGCCGCCGCCGCCGCCGCCGCCGCCACCACCGCCATCGCCACCGCCACCGCCACCGTTGTTACCACCGTCACCGCCGCCTCGTCGCCGCCGTCATTGCTGCCGCTACCACCACCACCATCACCACCACCACCACCACCACCACCACCACCACCACCACTACCACCATCACCACCACCACCATCACCACCACCATCACCACCACCACCTCCACCACCGCCACCACTACTACTACCGCCACCTCCGCCACCTCCGCAGCAGCCGTCGTCGTCGTCGTCGTCGTCGCCACCGCCGCCGCCGCCGCTACTGCCGTCGTCGCCGCCGTTGCCGCTGCCATCGCCGTCGTCAACCTGAAGTACGGAACACGCTCTTCGCGAAAAAACTGTGACGTGCCAATTAATTATGAGTTTTACGACATTCGGTGGGAGGTCCTGACTTTTCCTGTGTTGCTGTTGCAACTGATATTTCTTCATTGTCGGAGCAACGAATTTGCTAAATTGATACCGGTGTGAGGAGTACACGAATTCGGCACAGGTACACATGCATCTTTTTATCATGAGTACATCGCTCCATTCTCCGTCTCTCTTCTTTCCGTTCTGTCTCCGTTTCACTTTCGGCGGTATATGCAGAGGTCGTCGCTTTGTCTCGCGCCGCGGGACAAATCCGTTGACAAAAATGTATTCTTTTTTTCTCGTATAATAATTCATTGCGTGCAAAGTAATAATATGCGGGAAGCTACGAGAAAATAGATGACACATTGTTCAGAGGATTTTTTTTTGGATCTCGATAATCGCGAATTTCCTTTTTTCCGCTCGATGGACTTGTACTGAATTTTAATTTCGTTTCGAAACGCAAAATGGATAATGTAACTAACGTTCGAATGGCCCTGAATTGGATATTCGAGATTAATCGAGAGTTTACCGATCGTTCAAAGAATCGCGAATGCAGTCGCACGGATGCACCGCGTGAGCGACATTTTCATGCGCGGCCGTTATGGCTTCTCCCGGCCGGAGGTTCGTACGTTGCCGCTTGGCGGGTTCGCGCCGGTTGCTAACGGACACCGGCGCGACCGTGAGAAGCATGCGGATTACGGGCCGAATCATGAAATGAACCTCGCGGGAACACGTGGAGATACGTGGCGAAGTCGTGAATTTTTTTCGCGAATGTTCTCACGCGTTTCGCACGAGTCCGTTCGTAAATATAATAGTGTGTTCGCAAAATGTAAAGGCACGCGGACGCGCGCGCGCGCGCGCGAAACCGTAGCAAGTGCGGATAGCGATACTTGTCTATTCGCCGTGTTGGCAGGTGCGCGTCATGATTTTCAGATCTCGCCAAGTTAATCTCGTCGCAATATTCGCGCGCAGTTCCGCAAATGCTCCGTCTCTTATAACGTTCGTCGCGGATACATTATCACTCATATTGCAAGTGTGAGAAAATTCGCGATTCAAGATCTACCGATTTCGAGAGATAAATTTTATTGCGCGTTTGCAAATTGTTACGGATATGCTGTTTCGTGCAACATTTGCCGCGTGCGTACGTGTGAGCGTACGTGCGCGCGCGCGCGAACGAACGAACGGATGGACGAGCGACATGCGAGCGAACGAGCGAGCGAGAATGAGTTTCTCCGAGCGTGCTCTGGGCTCCGGCAGCCTTACTCCTATTTGACGCGCGCGGAGCGGTCGCTTTTTTTCCCGTCGTGCCGTTTCGCGGGCGCCAATCAGAATTCGCGCGAGCGCGGCCGCGGCCGAGAAAATGGCCAACGTCGTGTCGCTGGGTTCGAGCGTATCTTTGCGCGTCGTTTTGTGAACCCCGTAGTCCGCAATCACGTTGACGTCTGTCGCCATTTCCTCGCGTGGAGGAGCCCGTTCGTTTATTTTGCAAGGTAACGATCGCCGTCTGATTTAATATCGTCGGCACGGTCAGCCCGATCTTCTCGCTATCGCGTCAGCGGCGCCGATTTACCGTTACGATTCTGCGGAGCGCGAGTGGAAAATTTACCGCGAGATAAATGCATCGAGCGAAGTGCATATGTCTGGAGTGCATATAAGTGCATCGTACACCACGGCGGCGGTCGTCGCCGTGTAGTGCGCGGTTGCATTTCGCCGGCCGGCGAGCTGGCGCGTGGTAAAAGTGCCGACCTGACCCAGGTCTCATCGCGCGGGGATGAACGGCTGGCGTTGGAGAGGATAGAGAATAGAGAAATATCAACCACGGCGATTTTTGCCGCGCGAATCCTTTGCCTTACAGCAATGATTGCGCCGCGCCGCGCCGCGCCGCGCCACTCCGTTCCGTTTCGTTTTGCTCCGCTCCGCGCCGCGCTGTTGCCGCGCTGTTGCCGTCTGTCCGTACCAACCGATCACGTTCAATCGTTCGCTGCCTAATCGGTACGCCGAACGGCGTATGTGCCGTCAATAACGTATACGGTGTTGAGCAAATTTTTCCTTCTCGTCTTCTCATCCTTCTCCCGTTTCTCGTTTATCGAACGAAACGTTAATGTAATGTTTGTATACGGTTGCTCCGATATTTTTAGTTATTTATCTTCGAGTTCGGTGCGCCAGAGAGCTCTGCTTTCGGACGATTATTGCTTTGATCTGTGCACTTCGACGCGCGCGTATCTGGTCTCTTTTCTCCTTCCACATATCTTCTTTCACGTAGCGTTCCGCGCGCGTATGCATTACTGTCTACTGAATGCATTGCCGAGTACGCGATCGGAGCGAACGGACGTATTTGTGACATTTTTCTTCATGCTCTTCATAGACTTCTTTTTCCGGCTTTTCTTTTGATGACTTTATCGTCGCGCATTTTTCGAGAGTACGCGCGTTTTTCGTATTGGAAATGAATTTTTACGTACAAATGTGTTTCTTGGCAGAACAAGAATAGTCGAAGCGCTTGATTGATAATTTAGCTTTAAATACTGTTTTATTAATTTATTAATTATATTAAAAATATGTGAATTATATATTTTGTAATTAATAGTGCTCTCTCCGTTATGTTTAAAGCTTCTTGCTTATACTTATATTTTCTATTCAGTCTAGTCATCAATTTGAAATTATATCTGTTGAAATCATATTTTGCTCCTTCGTTTTATATCAGAAAAAAATAAAAGAGACAAATTTTAATTAATATCCATGTCTTAATTGTTATAAGAAATATATTAGAAAATAATCTTACTGTTACGCACATGTGCTATGTGTTTGAATTTGCATATTAAATATAGAAATTTTGTTGTGAAATAAATATATAAAATTTTGCTATTTAAAAAATAATTTGTACAAGTATGTTACATAGTTATATGTAACCAAATAATTTATTACAAATTCAATGTAGACAGAAAAGATAAACATTTTTGATTAACTTAAGTATTGTTTCAGCTATGGCAGAAGGAAATGGAGAGATAAAAATGGAAGAAAAACAAGAAATGGAAAATGTGGAACGGACAGAAGATTTTAATAAACTCATGCAATACGGGCTAGACGAGAAAGTGGCTGCCAAATTGGATGAAATTTATAAGACAGGGAAATTGGCTCATATTGATCTGGATGAAAGAGCTCTTGATGCCTTGAAGGAATTTCCAGTTGACGGTGCGCTAAACGTGCTTACACAATTTCTGGAATCTAATTTGGAGCATGTATCCAACAAATCGGCATACCTTTGTGGAGTAATGAAGACGTATAGACAGAAGAGTCGTGCTGGTCAAGGTACAGGCACTAGCACAACACCGAAGGCTCCAGATGAAGACAAAATCAAGGTAATTTGAAAAAACATATGAGCATCCATTTATATGTTAATATTCTGGATATATCTTGTATAAATTTCTTTAAAGTTATTAGTTTTGATACATTTCTGTTTAGATATACATAATTGTATTTATGTATAATTTTAGATTATACATAATTGTTATTTCATAATAAATAATTATTGTATTTTAGTTGATTCTGGAAAGAACAGGATACCCTTTGGATGTAACTACTGGACAAAGAAAATATGGTGGTCCTCCACCAAATTGGGAGGGTCCAACTCCTGGTACTGGTTGTGAGGTAAATTTGTCTTGTTTTTATAAATTATACACACATGTATGCACACATACGTATCCCTCGTAAAAAAGAACTACTAGTGCAGTGATAACACTACTGAAATATAGTGGCACTGCTGGTATAGAAATATATTAAATACTTTTATATAAGTTGTTTGTTTTTAAACTAATTATGTTGAATATTTTCATAAAAAGGTATTTTGTGGCAAAATCCCAAAAGACATGTATGAAGACGAATTAATTCCGTTATTTGAGAAATGCGGAAAAATTTGGGACTTGAGATTGATGATGGATCCCATGTCAGGTTCCAATAGAGGATACGCATTTATCACATTTACTAACAGGGAAGCTGCACAACAGGCTGTTCGAGAGGTATGTTAATATTTTTCCTTAGCTTTTTTCATAACATATATAATTATTGTGTATATTTTCGTACAATATATTAATATAATTTTTTTTTCTCTTGACCTAGTTATTAACGTATTGTCATACACACATAGATGATTCGGATCCTTTTATTTTTTTTATTTTCAAAATTTTTAGAAATGTTACAAAATTGTTATTGCTACCAACATAATGCTCTTTTGAAATGTTTATAAATTAATAGAGAATTTCTTCAATGTCCATATTTAATTTTTAATATTTTGTTTTTTTCAAATAGTTAATATAAATTTTAATATAAAAGCTGCGGTTGAATTATAGTGATAATTGATGATAAAAATACAACATATATATATATATATATATGCATATATACATATATACATAAATACATATACAGGGTGTTTCATTTTAATCGTCCCAGGTAAATAACTTGAAAATAAGAACAACCTCCAATGGTCATGACCTTGATATATGTTATAGAACTCATGATTCTGAACAATATTCAAAATGTTTTAGCCATTGTTCGAATATCTTGAATAATGCTAATGCTGGCAGTACTGTAACATTCAAGTCTTATAACTCGAAAAGTGTTTAATGGAAAAATATTTTATTATAGTGTTTCTCTCGAGATAAGCTACAAGAATATGAAATGAAAAATGGAGGGTTCTATTTAAAAAATTTAATGTGACCTTTCCCTGACAACGCCACCCAAGGTCAAACCAAAGATACCATTTTATGTCCTCCTTGAAGTCGTACAACTTTTGTCTTAAGTATTTGTTCATGTCTCATTTTCGAGTTATTCGCCTGGGGCGATTAAAATGAAACGCTCTGTGTGTATGTATATATATATATATATATATAGTGTTTTTTGTTGAACATTTCGAAGGAGTGTTACTATATTCCTATGTGGCTTGTTCTGTATTATCTATTTTATATTTTGTTGTTTCCTAGTAGATTTAATTCAAATATGTTATTATTTTAAAGTCCATGCATTTTTATGATTTTTGCAAATTTACATATATTTAAAAAATATACATACACAATTTAGAAGAAAGTAGAAGTTTCACACACACATATGCGCACACGCATTGTGTGCAAGAGCGAATGGTGAGAAGAAGAAAGAAAGAAGGAAAAAGAATGAAGGAGCGAGAAGAAGAAAGAGTGAGAGAGCCAGAGAATGAGAATAAGAGTGAGAGAATGGGAGAACGGGAGTACAGGAGAGCGAGAGAGCAGGAAAGCAAGAGAATGAAAGAGAGAGACAGAGGGGGAGAGAGAAAGAGGGGGGGGGGTAGGAGGAGAGACAGAAAATGTGCGTGTGTATATGTGTATGTGATGCATATATATAGGGTTTTTCATTTAACTCGAGCATTTTAAATATCTGCTACTCTAAACATTAAGAAAAAATTGTTAAATTTAATGGTTTTACGGTTTTGAGAAAGACATATAGTGACAATATTTTGTTGTGCGGGAGAAAATAATTAGATTTTCGTAAATCAAATGTGATTTTATATATACTTATATATATATATATATATATATATATATATGTATCTATTTATATATGTGTATATGTATAATGTCTCTAGTTATTTTGTATATAAAAGTATTAATATAATGTTAAAATGATTAATAGTTTATGAAATATTTAATATTTTATTGGCATAATTTAGTATGAAATATAACTATCTTTAATATTAATTTTTAAATTATCTCATCTTGACACTTTTATATGCAGAATAATTAGAAAATTCATATAGTTTTATTTAAAAAATTTTTTGAAATTTTTCTTTCATATTTTCATGCACAATGAAAGTATTGCCACTACATTATATGCTCTTTGAAACTATTGAATCTGATAGCTTGAATTTTTTCCTTTTATTTAGAATAACAAAGATAGTTAAGTTTGAATTAGATGAGATACTCTATACACATGAAATAAATGAAAACATATATATATATATATATATATACATATATATATATATATATATATATATATATGTGTATATATACATTTTTTATACACGTACACACATACGTAGGAACAATCCACATATTATATGTTTTATATGTATATGTCCCTGACCATTTATTCGTGTTTAAATACGCAATTACATCCAACTGATCCTACATATTTAATAACACTGAAAAATATATATTAATGATGTCCTATGGATGAGTTTCTTTTCCAGCTCTCCTCTTTGCTCAGTGGGCAAAATTGGGAGTGGAGAACCTTTCTGAAAATCATGATGATTGTGTGGTTTAATTGGTTAGGGGTATATTTATCTAATTGGTTGATTCTCATTGGACAGTGACAATTTTTGTAACAAAATTCTGAAAATTGGTAGGCTTAAAATTTGTTTACAGGAGTACATGATACGTGAAAGGCCGGTTTCCTATATTGTGAAGACTCGAGCGACAAAGCGCATGCCACTTTCTCGCTTTCGCGAACCCATGCTACGTTGTTAATAATTAGTATTCGTATTAAATTGCATATTTAGAAAATTTTTCCCAAATTTCGTCTTATCTGCCGTAATTATCTTAAAAAAAAAAACCATGAAACCGTCTCATTGAAACAAAATTAGGCATGTGTCTGTTTTCTGCATCCCACAGCTCGATAATCACGAAATAAAACCCGGCAAGAGTCTGAAAGTAAACATTAGCGTTCCTAATCTACGACTTTTCGTGGGGAACATACCAAAGTCAAAAGGCAAAGAGGAGATCTTGGAGGAATTTGGTAAATTAACAGGTAAAGTGAATTCGAGGCGTGTGTACCTACCTACCTACCTATTACCTACCTGTCTACCTGTATTGTATAACTTAAGAGTGCTAGCTTTTAAGTAGTGGTTGTAGATGGTATGGAACTATGGAGCATCCAAGGGTCACATTGACTCTGTGATCTGTAATCGAATATACCTTATGGCACCTTTAGTTCTGGTCAGTCTCCTTGCCTCTCGGTTTATTAGTGAACAGTAACACCTCTCTGGTCCAAGTTTTCTTTTCCTCGCATATTTAGGTTGACTTATAAGTTTATCTCTGCTTCCTACTCTATACATGCGATTACCTTATTGTCCTCTTGATCTCCTCATCCTCGAATTTTATGCAACTGATCAATTCATCAATCTTTATTACTGATATCTTCGTCTTCTTTTTTTGGAACGATAAAAAAGAAGCGAGGAAAGAGAAATGGAAAGAGAAAATGTGGAAGCCGTATGATACTTTTAGATTAAGAATTATTTTATGTACTGACAGAAACATATATACTGTCTTGCACCATTGCAATTTTGCAATATGCAAATGTGATTCATCACTAAGTCTTAAGCTTTGGGGGTATGGGAGATTTGCGTGGACCGCTGGGGCGTTTGGCTCGCTAACAAACGGACAGGCACTCCCACCTACCCTGTATGATATCGATCCTCTCAAACTATCAAATGACCGTAATACTTTGAATAATGCTTTTGGTCCTATGTTTATATAAAATCTCTCCATCCCTCCATCTCCTTCCCCCTCCCTCCCTACTTTCCTGTCATCAGCCCTTTTCCATCGAAGGACATTTCATGAAATCCTACGTTCAGACAGCCAATAAGCAGGTGAAATCATAAATGGCAAGCTTAATTGGCACTCTCCTTCCACATTATTCTTACAGCTGAATGATTATGAGATTCGGAAAGGGAAAAAGATTGGTGTTACCGTATCTTATAACAATCACCGCTTGTTTGTGGGAAATATTCCAAAGAATCGAGACCGAGATGACTTGTTCGAAGAGTTTACAAAGCACGCACGTAAGTTGACAATTGTCCTTAAATCAGCAAGCAGTAACCAAATGGAATCTTCTCTGGGAGAGAATAATGGGACAAAAATTTAATCATCTTATAATGAATCAGGTGTTTTTCTGTAGTCGGTAGCAGAGGTGCCAGGTGGGTTATAATCCAGCCCTCCTGCATAAATGTGAAACAAAAATCTTGTTGTAAATTGGTATTCGGAGAAACGAAATTTTCTTTATTCATTTTTGAAAATATTATTGATGTTTGGTAACGCTGACCAATTTATTTATAAGCCAAATGTGAACTCTTCTCACCATATAATTCCTTCATTTTCATTTCTAATAACTTTTCGTTTGCAAAACGTGCACAGTTGCAATGAGTAGACAATCGTAATTGTGTCCTACAACCAATCGAGTTTACGCTATTTTATTTCGATACTCATGCACACACATACACATTCGCGCGTGCGCGTCTGATTAACTCATTCATTCATTCATTTATTTATTTATCCATTCATTCATCTATCCAGCTCAATCCAATAATTTATTCGTTCATTCATTCATTTATTCATCCATCCATCTATTCATCTATCCACTTATCCTCATACATTTCTATATCCATTTAATCTCTCCCTTTTTCTACACCCACACGCGCACGCACATGCACACGCACCACACACACACATACCACACACACACACACACACAC